ACACTATGGTTTGTTTTATTAGTTGAATCTTATGGAACTATCACTCTTTGGCCATTTTAGACTTACAGAAATGGCAGTTTTGTATGGTTTTAACCCAATTCAAAGAACCAAATGAATTGTGAGTGACCTGACTCTATTTTTGGTGAGAAGCAGTACTTTCAGAGCAGCTCACATGTTCCTGCCAGAGGATTTAGACAAACACAGAAAAAATAGACCAAGCACCTTGACAATTGCTTGTCTTCCTGCAAATCAGACCCAGTGACTCAATTCAATTTGAAATATCTGTCAAGCCCCATCTTATTTTTGTTTCTTGGCAATCCCAAAAGAATAGCTCTGTTGTCTGGAGTGAGTCTATTAAATGCAAGATTCTGTTCTCATCTCCATGCAGTCCTGACACACAACATCCAGACCCAAACAGAAAACGGCAGCACTTCAACTGATCTCCCCTGCCTCCCTACCTTCCCACTGCCTCCTTCCTTCACTCCTGAAAACTCCTGAGGTTAACATGAAAGATGCAATTTCCAGAGAGGTTTTAGATGACTGTTAGGGAAAATGAAAGTATTTGTTAGTGGAGGAAACTTTCCACATGTGAACCACAAGTTCCTATATCGTGGTTTGGGTCAGAGTTGACAGACATTCCCCCGGGGATACTCTGCTTTTCAGTGTTTTCAGAAAGGTACAGAGTAGCCATGACTGACCTCCTTACTGAGCATCCTGGGAATTTTCCCAGCATGCTTTGTGGCTGAAGAAACTGGCATGAAGAGGATCTGATATTGTTGTTTAATCCAAATTTGCATTGTGCTATTTGACAGATCTTTCTTAATCCCAGACATCTCACTTAGAGTATATCTTCATAATATTTTACTCCTTTTGTAGTAACGAGAAGAGTTCTTCTCTGAAAGATATGACTGTCATCTCCACTTTGAATCCCGTTCTCTTAATTCTCCTTTGAGACCTAGGTCCATAAATTATTCCGTCTACTCAATACCTTTAGTTTCTCCTTCTCTACTAGCTCTTTATCCTTAGGATTTATACATCTTAAAGTATTCTACCTTTTAAAATAAATGCAAATGAAAAAAAAAATCTTCCTCCTATTTCCATCAACCAGGCTCTCTCCTCCTCTGCTCTGGCAGTCTTCTTGAATAAGGTGATTATAGGTAATATCCCCACTTCTTTACTCATGATTTTTAACTTAGTGAGTTACCTCTGTATAAAAACTATCACTGGCAGGTGAAAGGTGGCCTCTGTGTTGTTAAAATAAAGAGACTCTTTGTTTTCCTTGACTTCTAGGCAATAGTAGGAATTGTCTCCCACAACCTTATTTTGAAAACATACTTCTTTTTACTTATGGAGTGACAGACTCTTAGTTCTTTTTCACTTCTGCAGGCCTTTGCTTCTCTGTTGTTTGTCCTCCATGCTGCAGCCTAGGTTGTCTGCTTTGCTTATTCTCCGTGCATTCCTGGGGTGAACCAAACCCTGCCATGGTGTTCATGACCACCTCATGACCACGTGATGATTCCTAACTTACCATCTGTATCTCAGATGTGTCTTTGACCACCAGTTAGTATTCCTCTTCACCTATGGGACATCCCCCCATACGAGGTCACTTGCCTCCCACCTAACACATTCAAACCAAAATCTGAAATTTTCCCACCCCAACCAGTTGTGCTTCTTACATACAGTAGCACTGTTCACTCGTTGTCCCAACCAGAAACATAGAAAATACTCTTGACCACTTTCTTTTGTATTTCCTTTAACCATTTCTACTTGAAGTTCTATAATTTTATCTCCAAAGACTCCCACTGCTGATGTCATCACCTTGGGAACTAGATTTTAATGTGTGGTTTTGAGGGGAGGGAGAAATACCCAGACCACAAGAAGTCACCAAGGTCACATTGGTCATCAGTGATTAAGTTAGAGTCCAAATCAGGGGTGTCTGCCTCTGAAGAGCTTTGCAACATGTGATACACAGTGGACATTGGAACCACACTGCCTACACTCAAATTCAGCAATATGGATTTACCAGGATGGAAAGCCACTTAATCTCCTCAGGCCTCGGTTTTATCTATATATTAAATGGGAATAATAGTACCTCTTCTAAAAATAGGGATTAAGTTAATAACTATGAACTATATTCCTACAAATAGTATGATGTCACTATTAGCTGTGACTGTCACCATCACCACCACCATTGCTTTTAGGGCTTTTACTTGCCATAAAAGTGAGATACAAGTGAGCCAAGGGAACTGTAGGTATTCAGTATTGCTTTGAAAACTTTAGATTCTTGGGATTCTAATAGTTGATATTACATAAACTCTAAAAGGGCTTAAAAGCACAGGTTGAGTATCTGTCATTGGAAATGCTTGACACTAGAAACATTTCAGATTTCACATTGCTTTCAGATTTTAACATATTTACTTTGTACATAATGAGAGGAAACTTGGGGATAGAACCCAAGTTGCAACATGAAATTCATCTATATTTCATATGTATCTTGCTTATGTAGCCTAATTTTAAGTAGTATTGTCTCTACATGTCTTATGAGGCCAGGAGTGGAACTGGCCATTTGTGATATCATGTTGGCACACAACGTTTTTGAGTTTGGGAACATTTCAGATTTTGGGATTAGAGATGCTCAATCTGTATAGTCAAATAGCTCCAGGACAGACCACAACTATGTGATACACTTGATCTTAGCCAAAAGGCTGAGGAGCAATAGCACAACTGTATGATTGGCATTTGTAACACATATGATAGACATCATTTAACACAGTTGGTTAGTAAAAAGTGGTGTCCTATGAATTGCCCTATAAGTAGGATTAATGTTTTCAGGGGAAAATAGTAGCTTAATTAGGCATGTATGGAAATCCTATTTGTCATCTTCCAAAAATATATTTGAATTGACTTGATGTGATTTATAGTAATATTAGAAGTATACATCAAATAGTTTTTCATTTGTTAACTAAATGTTTAAATGTCTGATGCTTTGTTTTTTTTTTTTTTTTTTTTGTTTTTTTGTTTTTTTGTTTTTGTGGAACCAGGGATTGAACTCAGGCCCTTGAGCTTGCCAGGCAAGCACTTATTCCACTGAGCCATCTCTCCGGCCCCGCTTTGTTAATTTTTGTAATGATTCCATATTAAACAATCTTATGATTTCAGTTTTAATGAATGAGACAGCTGAGGCTCCTGTAGGTGACAAATCTAGCATATGAATCCAAGTCAGGCTGCCTCCAGAGTCCATGTGTTTTCTTCTTATTTTTTGAAATTTATTTTTAGCTGACACATAAAACATAAAATTATTCATATTAATGAGGTATCAGGTAATGATCTTGCGCTAAGACTTCTCAGCAGTCTACTTCAAGGGCTTGATTTTGGGTATGAGCTCAAGACCTTATCCTCATTCATGTCCAGACTTTGTTGCCCTGAAGAAAATTGTCCAGGGCAGAAGAGAGGCCAGAGGGTTCTGGCCTCTGAGATAGCCTTGAGAGTGTGATTCAGTTCTGATCCTCCTCACCATGGGCAGCAACTTCCTGGTTGAAATAGGAAGGCAAATGACTTGCACCTTGCAAATGCCTGGCCTTGCAAGGGGACCAGGCTGGACTCTTCCTAGTGCAATTTCATTATTTTCTGGTGAGAAATGGATTTTCTCACACCAACTAGAATTTGTGATAGGCTTTACTCTACAAAAAAAGTGAAAGCTTCCACTTTGCCTGCAACTGATTATAATCTTCTACTCTTCAATTGAAGTCCATGGAGTCTGGACTAAAAATATCTTGGCAGCATGCTTCCTAACCTTTTTTCTTTTAATATTTACTTAGTGTTTTTTTCCATAATTCTTTTCTTTAAACTTTGAGTAGCTAGTAAACATAGACAAAGGATGCTTCATACTAATTTCACGGATAGGATGCAACTTTTTCTTAAGAAATTAATTAGCTTTGCTGGTACTGATTTTCTAAGGGAAAGAGTTATCTATCATGTTTTTTTCAATTTATTATTTATTTATTTTAGGGAAGGGCCTTCAGGGTGTTCAGGGTCTCACTACTAGATCGGACTCATAGTGATCCAACTGTTTATAGCCCCCCAAGAACTGGAATTACATGCGCACATCACCATGCCCAGTCTCAATTGCTGTCTCAGTGCACCCTGGGGGTGGGGCCAGCACAGAAGGTCTGGGGATTGAACTCCCAGTCCCTGCACCTGCTTGCAGGCAATTTTTTCAATTTAGAACATGAAGATAATAAAAAAGTATATTATTAATACCTTCTAGTTCCAGAAACATTATAGAAGAGTTAATTGTTTTACTTGAATAGAAAAAATAAGACAGAGCTTGCTTTTTTTTTTTTTTTTTTTTTTTTTTTTTTTTTTTTTTTTTTGGTGGAGGGACACATAGTCACAACACATACAGGTCACAAAGAAAATTGTGTCTGTGTATTTTGTCTAACATGTGTCTTTAGGGGTTGGGGTGGAAGCTTCTGAGGGGACAATGGAGTTACTTTTACATCCATGTGAAAAGATGGATTTTCCATCATGAGAGACTTCACAGTTCATTTGTTCTTTCCAGAATAAATAATAAGTAAAATAAACAGGTCATATGGAGGATACAAAGAACAGCTTAAACCAAGAGAAACTGCTGGGTGCAACTCAGTGTGTTTAGAGCCTGGAGATAAATTTATAGGGTTGACTATATTATTTCTCTCTATTTTTTTTCTTTCTTTCTCTTTTTGATTTTTCTTTGGTATTGCTTTTTGGTTATCGTTTGTCAGGCATTATGCTAGGCATATTACATACATTAATTTATATAATTTCCAAATAAGTGTGTGAGAGAAGTGTGATTATTATCTGTAACAAATAAGGAAATTGAGGCTCGTAAAGATTAAATAATTTACCCTGGGTAAGACAGAAGGAAGAGGTGGAGCCATAAACATCTTGCTCTAGACCTTGGTCTTAGTCATCGTGCCATGCTGCTTCCTCACGAAGCCTTTTCTGTTCTTTGTCACCAGGGACAGGATGAGAACTTCGGTCAATGTTGTGGGTGACTCGTTCGGGGCTGGGATTGTCTATCACCTCTCCAAGTCCGAGCTGGATACCATTGACTCCCAGCACCGAGCGCATGAAGACATTGAGATGACCAAAACTCAGTCCATTTATGATGACATGAAGAACCACAGGGAAAGCAACTCTAACCAGTGTGTCTATGCGGCACACAACTCTGTCATAGTAGATGAGTGCAAGGTACCTTTCCCGTTCCTGGATATTGAGACCTGTATATAGTAGTGCATGCTCCGTTCTTTAAATATAAGCATAAAGCCCTGCATCCATTATTATCCCATACTTTTAAAAAGAATTGTGTAACCCCAGCTTTTGTGAGTTCCAGATCATCTAGCTCTGTATCTAACATGGTAGAAAACCAACACCCTCACACTGAAAACCAACGAGTTGCTTATTTCATCAATCTGATGTATAATGGTCATCCTGAGTCTCATGGCCACCCTGCTCCAGGAATTTGGTCAGTTTCTTGATTTTTTTTTAAACCCATGAATTTGTGGTGGTTTTACTGGATTTCACATGTTATAGTTCTCAAATGAAACAGAGAAATAGCCAGAATTTTGTTTCTATAGCATGAGTATTCCTCCTTGCTACATACCGTATATTAGCCAAAAATACACACCTATGTTTGTTGACCTGTCTTCCTTTTATCTTTGCTGGAAGGGTAAGGTTAAAGTGACAGTTACTTTCCCCCTGAAATGGGGAAGCAACTTCAAGAAGAACTTGTCTTTCAGAACAATTATCCAGACAAGTCTTTTTACAAACATCATTCTCTCATACTGTCTGTGAGCACCATCTTTCATGGAGCATAGATGTTCTGAGTTCTCCTCCAGACTGTTGGGTGCCAAGTCTTAAGCTTTATGGGGTCTGTGCAGCCTTCATCATGACTAACTTGACATTGTTAAAAGACTGAGTGTCATGACCAGAGTGAAGCAAACTGGGAGAAACCCTGGCAGGTGAAAGAGTCACCCTTTTTCACCCTTGGTGTTGTTTTGGTAAAATGATTCTGTACAGACAATCAGGAAAATCTGAACCCAAGATACATCTCTGGAACCTTTCTGACTTCTGTTGATATGATCAAGATTAATCATAAATTTCTCCCTCTGCTCCATCTGGATCTTTCCAAGCACACAACATAGTATCTGCCAGACAACTAAGAGTCACACAGAAGGAATACTCTTTACTAGATTGTATCATGGGTCCAAAATTTTGGTGGACAGCATCTTATGATTGTGCCCTTCACATTAGGGGGTGGGTGATGGGGGCTACAACAGAACTTAGAGAGGGAACCTACCTATCCAGACGCAATTGCATAAATTAATTCATCGACTCAGCAAACATGAATCTACATTTGTAAAAATTCAAATGTACCTACATGGCATAATCCACTCTCTTGAATGGTGAGTGTTTTTCACATCTGAATTAACACAATAGACTGTCTTCATGGAATGGCTTTATACACTGTTATATTTAACAAGTACTTATTGTGTGCCTTGTAAGTTTTAGTTGAGTTTCCCCACTTCATTCCTGTAACTTTCCATATTTTGATCATTCACAAAATATTCATTGGGTCCCTATTACCTCCAAAGCCCTGAATTAGGCACTGCATGAATCTAAAACTATATACATGATACAGGGGAGGTAAACTTGGGCTCAAATTACTGCCAAGAAAACCAGTATGAGGCAAAATGAATTCACCATATACATATATTTTTATCTCATCACTGTGTTAAGAATAGGCTGGTAGTTAATTGTGGTATGGCCCACTGGGAGCCTGTCAAGAAGTTTCTTAATATTCTCAAGAATACATGTTTGAAAGATAAGGTTTATGGGCATAGAGATGTTCTTCAATTTCAGACTTCCTGGATCTTTCTTTTCTTAAAGAACAGAAGAAATTTGCCTCAGTTATTTAAGCAAAATACTGCCAACTTAAAAGGAAGATGCTTGTGAATTATTCACATCACTAGGAAGTAAGTTCTTAGGGAGTAGACATTTTCTCAGCACCTAAAAATGTGTTTGATATATTGTAGGTACTCAACAAGAAAATAATTTTTTAGTATAGAGTCCCATGCTATAGTTCAGAAAACCTTTTCACCAGAGTTTCATACAAAGTACTCAGTCTCTTCATAAAATTGAGTACCCACCGGGAGGTACATTGGTTAATTAACATTGAGATGGTCAGTGACCCAACTGATCAGGAGATGAGGATGATGAGAATGGGCTTATTGGTTCAATAATTATCACAGATGCTGTATTTTTTAAGGAAAAAGTTTGGGTTCAGCTCAGCTAAGGTGAGTTGCTTCTCAGGCCTTGCTAGGTGAGACAAGTTTGCTCTTCTAATTTTATGTATTTGGAATAGGATCTCACTACACAGCTTGGGCTCATAGTTGCTGAAGCAGGCACTTAGTCTGTTGAGCTATCTCTCCAGTTCTACTGTTCTCATTTTAGGTCCGCTAAATACATTGACACTGGCAGGGAAGGAGGCATCCAGAGGTATTGGGAAGAGTGTGTACTCCTTTTCACAATATTGATGTCACTGTTATTCATTTCTCAGAACTCTCTTCCAGTCAACTGCTGCTTTTCCCTTTTCTTTTTTTAGGAGGCGGGGTCTCACCTGGTTGTTCAGGCTGGCCTGGAACTCACTATGTAGCCCAGGCTGGTCTTGAACTTGCAGTGGTTCTCCTGCCTCGGCCTCCTTCCGAGTGCTGAGGTTATAAACATGCACTACCATGCCCAACTACTTCTTCATTTCTAAATCCATGGAAGATGCCGGTGCTTCCTGACAATGCCCTCCCCTTTTGATTTGCTATCACCCTAGTGGTTAGACCACAGAAGAATGGAATGAATTGAGTAGTAGAGTCCCAGCTCTCTATATTCAGCCAGAAATTGAACTGTTCCAACTACTTTTCAAACAGAGGCCACAGTACTTACAAACAAAAGCCACACAGCATCTCTCCCAAGTGCAGTCTGGTTCTTCCAAAGGCACAGCCCTGTGATTGATAAGTTTGCACTGCCATTGATCTGGGTCATCAGGGAGAGCCAGAGAAGCACACTCAAGGACATAGCAAATAAGTGGCTGTTTACAGACAGACTGTCCCTGGCATTCTTCCGTGATGGTTTACCAAAAAAGAAACCAATTTGCTGAAGCTCTGGTCAAAATTTTAACCACTTCAAGTATTGTTATGTTGTGTTGGTCTCTCTATTTTCAAACCCTTACCTGGTAATACTAGTTTGAAGGTATGCAATGTCTTTTTAATTTTAGTCAGAATAACTGCATGTGAGAAGTTATTGCTAACTGCATGAACTTTCTAAAAAAGAATGGGGAAGGTGGGAATTAGAGAAATGGATAGCTTTTATTTTTATGTGCTTGGTTTGCAAAGGGTATTTGGTTTTCTATTCCTAGCATGTTATGTGCTCATGATGCATGCATTTCACTTCCACTTGGGTAAGAGGAAAGTCAGATTTCTTTCAAACATTGCTGCGCTTGTCATGTCTCCATATCCCAATGCTTCCATAAATCCAGTCTCTCCATTATGTGGAATATCAGTCGTGGGTTTAAGTATGCACATGACGTTGAGGACAGACAGAAGGTAAGATAGGAAAAGTACTTAGAAGTGGAGGGGAGAACCTTCCCTTCCTCACAAGGTTCAGTTCACTTTGAGCCAAAGGAACAAGATGTCAATAATCTGCTTATTATATTTGATTAATAAATTATCTACACTAACTGGGGTTCGATCCCGGACCACAGGGTGCGCTGAGATGGCAATCAAGATTAGGCATGGTGGTGACGCATGCCTGCAATCCCAGCACTTGGGAGGCTGAAAACAGGCAGATCACTACAAGTCCTATCTACGTAGTGAGACCCTGTAGACTCTGTAGATCCTGTCCTAAATTATCTACACTAAAATAATTTGGATTACATTATCACTGATGCGAAGTTCTTAATCCATCCTCTTTTCAATTTTTAAAACCAAGATTGGTTAGTTAGTAGAGTTAAACCATCCCAACATCTGATTTTTAAACTGAATGTGTATAAACTCCTCCTGGTTTCACTGTAACTGAACCTTTTACATGCATGAGTAGAACTAGCTACCTAATCCTGTATATCTTTTCCTCTGTGGTTGTATGGAGTAGCACATTGTAGTCACTGCATTTTATGGATTGTGTCAATATGCAGTAGGTCCTGTGGGTAGTCAGACATGCTTCAACCCTAAAAAGACAGCAGAAGTTACTCCCCTTCTGCAGTACCTCAGTACCATAAGACAAATATTGATATTTTAATTCACAACCCCCCCTTGATCACCAGAACAGATCCAAAACCAATTTGGAGAAATCTGATTTCAAACCAGTGTTTCAGTCCTGTATTCTAACCCTGCATCTGGTGCTTCTCCACATAGCCTGTGGTTTTTGCCTGCTTCATGGCCTGTAAGCTGGATGTTGACGATTATCATTTTCAGGTAACTCTGGCAGCCAACGGAAAGTCCGCCGACTGCAGTGTTGAGGAAGAGCCTTGGAAACGAGAAAAATAAGACTATGACCCTCAGCACATTCTTGAATAAACTCCCCAGCGTATCTTATGGTAAAAGATGACATAAGCTTTCTTTAAAAAGGAAAAAAAAAAAGCATCTATCTCTATGTTTACTTAATCTGTTAGCTGAGGTTTAGAGGAGCCGTTGGTGAGTCCGTGATGCCAGGCACGGTGCTGTGTCTTTGCCAAATAACACTTCATAACTGGCTAATTTTCTCACTTGTGTTATTGTTTGAATGAATGTGCTAGAGGGCTCCCCTGTAAATTGAAGACACATTCTTGCCAGCTTCCCCTCTCTCTCAGTGTAGAACTGTGGATGCTCTTTTCCCAAGGGATGTGTCAAAAGCAGTGCGGTACACTCCGGGGACTTGGGACAATGACCATGCACACAGTGTGTTATTCTTTAAAGTGTTCCTGCCTCGCCTTGTTGTGCCCAAGAGATTCTGCTAGAAGCCTCTAGAAGTAGCTCCTTTTCAGTACCTTACAGAGTTTGCACATGCGCTGATTAAAAGTGAGTGTCTATGTTAGGGAACTCAAGCTTCTTACCTTCTGTGTGTTCTTTGAGTTACATGTTTCAAAGAGAGTTGTAGTGGGAGCCATACCCTTCAGACAGCTGATTATGGAACCCACTGCCTCTCTGCTCTCCTCCTAAATTTGTGTGAATAATGGATAAAATTTCCAAATATGTGTCATAGTTCTAAGTTTAACATCGGGTTAGGAAGTATTTTACAACCACTATAAATATATTAACAGAATTAATGGAGTGCAGATGACATAAATTTTAACCAGATTTAACCACCCAAATTCATTTGCATTTTATTTGCATTTATTCAGCACAGTAAAATCAAGTGAGGTTATGTGATCTACGGTTTGCTCTCTTTGTTTCACCCTTAAGATTCTTATTTGGGTTTCTCCCAGAAAAAGATGCTTTGAATGTCTGAGTCATTTGCATCATATTCTCACTGGCCTAGATGGCCTGAGCCTTCGTCCTCCACAATTGGATTACACTTGTGTTAGCTGTGCCACTTTTTATGCCATACATTGAACAAACAAACTGGTATCTGATGAATATGTAGAAGGATTTTGGTTTTATCCAAGCACATACAACTAGTTACAGGACACGGTCAGAAGCAAAGCCAATCTTCTCCTCAGTTGAAAAGGAACAGAAAACAAACCTACAAAATTCTATAAAGGTGATGTTCTTTTGGCATAATCCAGCTAGTCATGATCCATAAAGTAAGAACAAAGGATGACTGTAGAGCTTTCCTGATGAGTTTTTTTTTTCAAGGCTATGGAAATTTGAAGGAATAAATAATACAATTGGCACAGAGCAGCGCCTTGGAGGTGGAAGACAGCCAGCAAATCCTTAATGATTGGTTATGCAAGCTGAAGTTTTGAATGTCTCTACTGTTATTTTCTACTGAATAATCCACAGTATTTTCCTAAGGTTGCTGGGTTGGGGAGTTAGCTGAGGGTTTGAGTCATGGAGAGATAAAGCACAATGGAGTCTAACAAGTAGGAGAATCTTGGTCCACATTTCTAAGTGTGGTTGAGGTCTTCCATGAGGCCGGAAGAGGGATGCAGAAGTGTTCATCAATATGTATAGACTCCCAATTCTCTTAGAGTAGGGAGGGAGTGATGGAGCATCACCTGCCCTTTATTCCTAACCCTTAGGACTTCTGTGTTCCAACCCAGACAGTTTCAAAACATACAGAAGATAAGAGTCCAGTTGGTTCCTCTGTCTCTTAGATCCTGGTTAGTTTTGGATATGGATCACTACTGAGCAGTATTAAGCAGAGTTTTAAAACTGACATTGGTCTTTGTTTTCATAAGAATGACAGTTGACAGAATGGGTAAGGTCAAGCTCAAAGGTAGTAGGGGGTACCAAATTCTTTATTGCAGATGTGGGAGCCAAAGAGGTACTTCCTGACTGTAGCTGTGAAACCCCAGTTTTCTTTGAGTGGTACCTCTACAGCTTTCTGATGGTGAGCAGAAAGATCTAGGCAAATCAACCAAGAGCTGCTTGCATTTCTGCTGCAGCAGGCTAACTTGGCATTTGTACACACCCACGTGTTTCTTAGAGGAGTGGTCACAGGTTTCTCTTTGCAGGTCTCTGCTTGAAAAATCTCTCAAGTTTCTTTTGTTTTCATCTTTTTCCTAGCCATGCTGTTAGCCCGTAAATAGGTAAGGGGGCAATGTGTTCGAAAGAAAAAGAATGTACAGCTTCAAAAGCAGGCTTTTCCCATTTGAGACTGTGTGATGTCTGATGAGAAGATACTTAGGAAACCACATTTATCCGGAAATTCAATAAGTTGAATTAAAATGAACTAGCTTATCAAATTCAAGAATAGCCTGCATGTAGGGCTGACAGATGAGCGTGTCCTCTAGTGTTCTGAGGCCTCGTTCTATCTTCCCATGCCACGCCCACTGGGGATTCTTTTGTCCAGACCATGTGCCATAAACAGAACAAATGGATCCAGCATATACCTCTAATAGCCTGGGCCTAAATGGGGTACCTGTCAGTTATATGTAGAGATTTATGCTAATGGGCTCATCACAGATACAAATGCTTATCATTGTCCATTAATATTTGATGATACATAAATGTTGTATATCTACGTGTAGAAGCAGCAGGTCAGGACATACACTGCATCTGGTAAGGTTTATAAATCAGCACTTTGTCAATACCATTTTGTTGTTACAGGCTTTTTTACTTTTTTTAGGAATGAGTGTCATTTCAGGAAAAAACCAACGAAGTAGAAATTCACCTTTCCTTTCTTATCCTTGCCCTTTTGGGAAGCCCAAATGGACTCACCATTTACTTATTTACTAAATAGAAGAAGTCCAGTCTAACCAGTGAGAAGACAGCTTATCATTCAATGGAATGGCCAACCTTAGATAGCTGAGGATATGTTCCCCACCACATGGCTCAAAATGAAGTGTCTCAGAGAATCCAGGCAGCCGTTTTGTTTATATAAATAGATCTTCAGTAAAGAACTTGAAGAGACATTAGGACTTTAGGTAACTATCAGAGGCCATTTTTCAAACTTCTCATTGGGTATTGAAACCCAGCCTGTGGTCTCCTTTCTTGCTGAAGTTACCATGCCCTGCAAAAGACAAATACTCGTTTCTCTTCTCTGACCCCTAATTCACCAGGATGGTCACAAAAGCTTCAGGAAAGGGTGCCAAAATGCCTCGCTCCTGGATTCAGACTGGTACAAGCTGAGAAAGGCTTGAGAGAAATTTCATTCACAGAAAGATTTCTAGTAGGTAGTGCTGGAAGTCCCAGCGATAAGTTGTCGGGTCTCGGGTCATCTCCACTTGTGCAGGGGGAAGTATGCTATCTGCACAAGTATCTGGTGAAGAAGCCTTTCAGAGTTCAGTAACTGAGACACTTAATCTTTTGTAGTCCCAGAAGGAAAACCAATCCCTCTTGCCATGTTTATTCAAATCCTGTACTTTTTTTTCTTAATAGTGAAATTAATTATAATTATTTACTTTTGTCCAAATCAAGGCGTCTGCTTATGCAATATCTTCCCATGAAATACAGCAGTGAAATCAAGTAGGTGATTCCCCATGGCTCTGACCCTTGTAAAACAAGTCTTAGCAACTCGCATCTGGTGTGATGGGTACAATTGCACAGCAGTTACACCCCAGGGAAGGTGGTTCCCCCACTTAGCTGGTCTCTCACTTGTAGAACCACCCGTTGTCTGGGTTGCTGGTGCTGCTTTGCTTATTCTCCAAGTGAACTTACTCCAAGCCAAGAAAAGAGACTGAATGAGACATTCTATTATCATCACATTCATCCTTTAAATATGAATATAGGGGTCTAGGGGCATAAGAACATTAAGTTAAAGCACAGTCTGAATTAAGGGTTAAATAAAACTAATTATTGGAGAAGGTGAATGATTCCAGCATCTGTAGTAATTTCAAATTAAACCCCAGGAGAACAGTCACCAACCAGGCAGGTGATGCAAGCGGCAGATTGTCCTTCTTGGATTGAGTGAGTTCAGAGCTGCTCATGACACATGTGTTTGTGATGACTCTAAAAGAAAGTCTTATTTTCCACTCTTTCTGTTTTGTCCTCCTTTCTGTTCCTCTGCTTAGGAGACAACTTAGTAAATGAACACATAGGTAGGTCCAAGGATTTATTTTAGAACAGAGAGTAACCTGAGTTGGAGCCTATCTAATGTCATGGCATAAATCAATGCATGTAGGTAATGACAGAGATGATGAAAAAAAGCATGGTTTGGTAAAAAATATATATATTTGACATAGATTCGACCCAGTTTTAGCAGTATGACTTTCACAACTTTATGTCCAAAGCTTTATTTTCTCTCATTTGAAAAGTAAAAGGGTTGAATTCAATGATTAAACTCCCACTAGCAATACAAATCTCTCTTTTAATTCTTTCTTAAGAGACTTGCTCCTCTAAAATATTATTATTTATATTTTGAATCCGAGGGGTTCTAGTCTAACAAATAATTCATTTAGATTTTTCTCATTCCCCCTTTTAAAGCCTCTGCTTATTTTATGTTTGCAACAAGAGTGGTGAGTGCTCATGTTAACTTATGGTTTGAGACACCAATAAAGATCCTTTTATAAAAGTTCCCTTTACCTAAACTCACTGTCCCTGTAGAAGCAGTGATTCAGCTCAGGGAAAAATGCTCTTGCATCAGTCCTGCTATAGTTACAGAGCCCACTCCAAACACCCAAACCATATAATTTTATCCAAATGCTCCTAATTGCCAACACAGTATGGGAATTTGCAAGCCTTTGGCAAATAAACTTGAACACTCATGAAATTCGGTGCAAGACTTACACAATCACGGCAACTGTCTGCAGATGCCTTCCCTCCTCCGCAGGCATGCAGACATGCACATCCATATATAAGTAAGCTGGGCTGAGTCCTTTCTCTGGAGGGATATGCATAGATATTTGATGGAATTCTTTTCCATGTCTTCCACTTGATTTTCTTATATCACAGGCATTACATCACAGGTAGAGAAGCTCTCAGTCACGTGGATAAAGTTTTGCTGTCGCTGCCCTTTTCAATGCTTGTGGAGTTTCTAGTGAGGAGGATTCCCAGTTGGTCTACTGGATGCCTGACGCCAGCCATGACCTTCAAAATCCCTCCCTCCTGTACTTTCTGGCATTATTGCAATGGGCTACTGCTTGCATCATTGCCCGCTGTTCAACCTTCTGCTGACTAGGGTGGAGTTGCTATTTCTTGTGTGGTTGAGCACTCTTTCTGCTAGAGAAGACTTCAGATCTTCAGATTTGGGGATGTGAGAAGTAAATCTAGGACTAGACTGAGGATGGAGATTTTTTTATTTGTCATTGTTGTTTACTTGGAGTTTTTTTTTTTTCCATCAGTTTAGAAAACCTAATCTGAGAGCAGCAAGATAAATAGTCTCAGCTGACCCAGTGAAGAACCTGTAGCAAAGTGAGAGAAGGCCTGAAACTCACATTCCATTTACTCTAAATAATATCCTGAATAGTGTTCAGCTCTTTTTTCTCTCTATGCCCAGCCGTGCTTCATCTTCCAATCTCTGAGCCAAGTCTCTATTATAATATTTAAAAAAATTCTTTCCAGTTGTTATGCAGGGATTTTTTTTTGTGCTAAGAATAAAACCTACTACTGGAACAGAACTTAGCACTTCTCACAGTCAACATTTGACCTTGGCAATGGGTAACCGCAGGTCCCCAGCTCCTCTGGAGACACCTCCAATCCCTGAGTGAGTGTTGAAACCTAACAACAGACTGTTACCCTTGCCATCGTCCCCCATGGAGATGAGGGTGATGCAGCCGGAGCCCTGCCACTGCTGGGGCTCGGATTCTTCTCATGGCAACTATT